TCTGGAGTTCCCCGCGAACTCCAGCCCAAAGTGGAGGACTTGCCATTTGACAAACAAAAGCTATTTGCAGCCACTATGGACGAAATGCTCCACAACAGCAAAAATTCTAAGTCCACACTTCGCATGATAGGTATGTGCACGCCACCCTATAAACGCAGGCGATACACCCCATATAATTCATATAATCGATATTGGTATGGACAATACAATCGACCACAGAGGCCTTATGAAGACAACAGACCAAGACAGAGAGGTCCCAGAAGGCGACCCAACCAAGCCTGCCCGCTGGCTAACCAACCATCTAAGCAGCAAATTTGAACATTTGGTCGAGGGTCTGCAAGACCTCCCGTTCGATCTAGCACCTCAACATGGCCATCTATTCAACCACTGTGCCTTCCTCCCACAGTGGGATTCCATAACATCGGACCGCTGGGTCCTAGAGATAATTCGAGTGGGCTATACCATCCCTTTTATTTCTTCCCCCTACCCCGTCACTACCCTTCCCCCTACCCCGTCCCTTTTCAGGGACCACTCTCACGAAACCCTTCTAAAACAAGAAGTCAATTGGCTCCTTGTCATTGGGGTTATAGAAAGGGCAAAGGGTACCCCGAGAGTTCCACGGGAGAGGGTTTTACTCGAACTATTTCCTGACCGAGAAAAGAACAGGGGGTTGGAGACCTATATTGGATCTCCGCAAACTGAACAAATTTCTCAAGAGACAACGTTTCAAGATGGTTACTCTTTCCACAATCATTCCTGCGCTAGATCGAGGGGACTGGTTCGTAGCCCTCGACCTCCAAGATGCCTATTTCCATGTAACCATCCACCCCCCCACAGACGCTACCTACGCTTCACGTTGGGACTAGACCATTTCCAGTACAAGGCTCTTCCCTTCGGTCTTTCATCAGCTCCGAGGGTATTTTCGAAGGTACTGGCGTATCTCAGATGGCAGAACGTCATCATATTTCCCTATCTAGATGACGGCCTTCTAAAGGGATCCTCATACGCCGAAACCGCCTCTGATACATACGACCACGGCCCTCCTCAGTTGTTTAGGCCTTCTAATCAACCAAGACAAATCAATTCTGCACCCGGTTCAAGAGATAGAGTTCATTGGCGCACGCCTGGACTCAGTTACAGCCCGGGTATACCTACCTCAGCAACGCTTTGCAACCATGCAAGAAATTATAAAAGGGATGCTCACAGTTCCTACCACCACAGTACTTACATGCCTCCGACTAATGGGACACATGGCTTCCACCACCTACGTAGTCCACCATGCTCGTCTGCACTTTCGATGTTTTCAGCTCTGGATTGCAACCATTTATATCCCATCACGACACCCTCGAAACAAAACGGTTACTATCCCACCAGGCGTGCTCGCATCCTTACGATGGTGGACAGTGCCAAACAATCTTCTGGCGGGGGTTCCGTTCCAACAAATCGAACCCACTATCCAAATCACCACAGATGCTTCCCTGCTCGGCTGGGGGGGTACATATGGACGGTCACGAAGTTAAAGGCAGGTGGGCCCCAAATGAGACACTCTTACATATCAATCTCCTCGAACTGAGAGCAGTAAGGAATGCCTGTGCACACCTTGCCTCCGACATTGCCAATCACACAGTCCGCATTCTAACGGACAACATCTGCGCGATGTTCTACATAAACAGACAGGGTGGAGCCCGCTCCCGCTCTTTATGTGCGGAGGCTATTCGCCTGTGGAACTCGTGCATCCGCAACCAAGTCACCCTTATAGCATCCTACCTGCCCGGAGTGAACAATACCAAAGCGGACTCCCTCAGCCGAAACTTCACCGCAGACCACGAATGGGAGTTACACACAGAGGTGACAAACTCAATTTTCCACCAATGGGGATGGCCAGTGATAGACCTCTTTGCTTCTACCCAGAACACCGGCAAACACTCTCTGGGGGATGCCTTCCTAATCAAATGGACAGCCCCCCTACACTACGCCTTTCCTCCCATACCGCTCATCTCAAGAGTTCTGCGCAAGATCCTGAGAGACAAAGCCCTAGTCATCCTGATTGCGCCATCATGGTCTCGCCAAACCTGGTACCCATACCTTCACAGGCTAGCGGTCCAGCTTCCCCACCCACTACCATACCGGATAGACCTACTATCTCAGGACAATGGCAAGATACTGCATCCACTCCCGCCCCCCCCACCCACTACCATACCGGATAGACCTACTATCTCAGGACGACGGCAGGATACTGCATCCACAACTCAATACCCTGCATCTTCATGCATGGCTTCTCTCTGGTTCTCTGAGGTAGAAGAGCGCTGCTCCCAGCGAGTAAAAGATGTCCTCCTCCATAGCAGGAGACAGTCTACCCGGAAAACTTACCAACAGAAATGGACACGTTTCTGTCACTGGTGTCAGCGAGCCAAAGTGGAGCCCCGTGCCTCACCACTAAATACCATCCTAGACTACATTCTGGACCTTAAAGCATCAGGACTGTCAATCTCCTCTCT